CCTTATTTTATTATTTCTTGGGATATGAATAAATCATTTGCAAATAGCACTGCATTTCTTAGCCTACTCCTAACTCTTTTTTTTTTTTTTTAGAGATAGAGTCTTACTTTATCACCCTTGGTAGAGTGCCACGGCATCATAGCTTACAGCAATATCTAACTCCTGGGCTTAGGCAATTCTCCTGCCTCAGACTCCAGAGTAGCTGGGACTACAGGCACCCACCACAATGCCTGGCTATTTTTTGTTGCAGTTTGGCCGGGGCTGGGTTTGAACCTGCCACCCTTGGTATATGGGGCCACCGCCCTCCATTTAACTCTTGAGGGGAAATGCCGAGAAAGCAGTATAGTAGATGCATATCACCTCTCCTGGTGGAATGAGAACTGACACACTGGTTGAGCAGCTGCTGCTCTGTGCCAGGTACTCCTTGGAGGAGACAGACAAGTGTGGCACTGATCCTCTCACCGGGCACATGCAGGTTTTCAGATTTAAAAGTCACAAGCTTTGTCCCACACTCAGACAGACTGACAGAAAAGAACCAAAAGCATTTTATGCAGTTCTTAGTAGCAACTTTATGTGGGTATATGCTCCCTCCTGAGGTTATGAAAATCTTGCAAACTGACAAAATTAAGAAGCCCATTTAATCTAGAAGAGTGGCCAACTGAACTGAGATCCAGCAACTCACAACCATCATCCAAGAACTCACAAGCTGAACACAGTCTAGGAGCCTTTGTCAGATGTCTTGCCCTGAGGTGGTTTGGGGGCAGACAGGACACTGGCAAGCATACTCACGAAACAGCCATACCTAGTTGGGAAAGGTCCAGCCTGGTCCAGTGCATGCCTGTGGGGCAGCTCTTGGAGAGTGTCCTGATAAACACCTGGCCGAAGTTATCCAGAGCCCATAGCGCATCCTGGCAGGCAGCATAGGCCCTCATCTCAGTGTCAGGAGGCAGCTGCACTGTGGAGGGGCGGGACTGTGCACTCTGGGCACTGATGCTGCACAGGTCCTTGCTGCTCTGACCCAGCCACAAGGAGCTTCCTGCAGAAAGGTTCACATTTGTCATCGAAGTGTTCTGTTTATACTGAGCCACCCACCCTAAACACACAAGGCAGCCTCTGCCTCCAGGAAGATACCAAAATCTGGCCACAGACACCAGCCAAACCCACACCACAGGAGCATTCTATGTACTTGCAATAAGAAGGCAGAGGAAAACAGCATGAACAGCTGGTTAACAAGAAACATGCCTGAAATATTTTAAGGAAATGAAAAGAAAACAGGGCTTATGAGATTTTATGAAGGCTATAATGTTGGTTTAGCAGCTTTGACCTCTCATTTATAATGGACAGGGAAGTTTTTAATTCGAAAAAGGCACCAGAACATTTTAATATAGGATGTTACATTTCACTAAAAGGAAAGGACTATTGAATCAGTTCCCTGAAGGGAGTAAGGGTCAGCAAGTCCTCAGAAGGACAGCATCAAGGAACTCTCTCTGTCTTTCTGGTGATGGGGCTTAGCGGGTGGGACAGCTGCTACAGAAGGCTTAGGAGGCTGAAAATCCTTCTTCCATCCTTGCCTCATAATTATAGCCTTTCATCCTCTCTGCTTTTTTTTTGTTTGTTTGTTTGTTTTTTCTTGAGACAGAGTTTCACTATGTCTCCTGGTAGGATGCCATGGTGTCACAGCTCACAGCAACCTCAAACTCTTAGGCTTAAGTGATTCTTTTGCCTCAGGTTCCAAAGTAGCTGGGACTACAGGTGCCCACCACAATGCCTGGCTATTTTTTGGTCGTAATTGTCACTGTTGTTTGGCAGGCCCAGGCTGGGTTTGAAAGTGCCAGCTCTGGTGTACGTGGCTGGCGCCCTAGCCACTGAGCTACAGGGCACCGAGCTGCATTCTCTCTGTTTTTATAGGGTCCTTTAGGTTTAACAGGTTCTGTTTAAGATCAAAATAGTCCTTGGGGAAGTTAAAACCTTACAATATTATCTTCTAAAGTATCTACAACCTGTGGCAGATATGTCTTGGAATTCCCCCATTTTTGATTCTGAAAACTTAAGGTAATGGGTATGCCACGGCTTTATTTAACAGCCATGGAGGAACCAGGCAGCTGCTTGAGGGAGAGGCAATAATGTTTCTGTAGCAGCACCTACACAGAATCATAGAATCCTAATCAACAGCATAGAAGGACAGTAAGTTGCCTCACATCAGATCAAGCCAAGGTTTCAGTACCAAATTAATTTGTGCCAAACTTAGGAAATAACTTAGCATTTTCAGAGATTTTTATATTTAAGAATTGTGAACAGGGCAATCTGGAGAGTTAAGAATTTATTGTACTGACCAATTTGCCCATATCCTAGTGGAACTAATGGTTTTGAACTAACCAAACTGCTTTCTCTTAACCACAGACTTCATGGTGTTCCTATTTAATCCTCAGTGGAATACTGGGAGGAGGTACAACTATTTTCCAGAGAGGTCACCTGACAACCTGTTCCCAGCTTACTGGGTGGAACATTGCCTTTCCTGGCTCCAAACCCCATGTTCCATGAGGGACTCTGAGTGCAAGTCCATGGGAGTATCCCCTGTAGGAAAGGTCTGCCTACTGGGGTATAAATGTGGGCCTCATAGCCACAGACTGTGAATAAGAGGGAAAGAGGGTGACAGAAAAATTCACCAGGCGAAATGGGAAGGTGTCAAAGAATCAAGGGCCCTGTAATATCTCACACAATAGGAAGTCACACTGTACAATCTCCTTCTTCAGAAGGACACTCTGCCTTTAGACCCCTTCAGCTTCACCATGCCAGATCCCTTTTAGGAGATCTCCTGGCCAGGCCTATCCATCTTTGGGATCTTTGGTTCAGCTAACAGGGGCTTCGGGCCCATGACACCACCATGTTTACAATCTCAGAGATGCAAGCAGCTGCACCTCTGTCATCAGCGAGGCATGGTCAGAGAGTGGTTTGAACTTTTTCAATGGCCAATCTGTGTACTAGATTTCCCAACAAGGCTAAGACGGACCAACCTTCCTTTGTGGGAGCAGCAGAAGCCAAGACAAAGGCCCATTTTGTAGCAGAAGCTGTCCCACGGGGAACAACATTATTCCAGTAGGTGCCTGGAAAAAAGAAATAGGAAGAATATGTTGAAGAAAAAACCAGTAACAAAAACTCTTCAGAGTTTACACACCTGACCTTCAAGCCCTCTTCCAGCTAACTGTAGAGTGTCCTTCACTTAAGCAATGAGCCTGCATAGTGTAACATTTCTTTTTCTCTGAACACCATTAAGCAGAGAGACATCTCCCCTGGGGTACGGAAAGATCGGAGAAATTCACAAAGCAGGGAGTTTACTCCCAGAAACAAACTCCCACAACTCGTGGAGTCACACCTATATTCAAAGACCTGACCAAAGCCTTATATAATACTTATTTATTTATTTTTGCTTTTATTTTTTTTGAGACAGAGTCTCATTTTGTCGTCCTCAGTAGAGCACTATGGCGTCATAGCTCACAGCAACCTCAAACTCTTGGGCTTAAACAATTCTCTTGCCTCAGCCTCCCAAACAGCTGAGACTACAGGTGCCTGCCACAATATCCAGCTATTTTTAGGGATGGGGTCTCACTCTAGCTCAGGCTGGACTCAAAGTCATGAACTCAGGCAACCCACTGTGCTTTGGCCTGTGGCTAGGATTACAGGCGTGAGCCACTGCGTCTGGCCTATAATATTTTTTAAAATCACATTTATTTATTTCGTTGCTGTTGCTTGTTTTTGAGACAGAGTCTCAGTTGGTCACCCTGGGTACAGTGCTGTGGTGTCAGTTCACAGCAACCTCAAACTCTTGGGCTCAAGTGATCCTCCTGCCTCAGCCTCCTGAGTAGCTAGGACTACAGGTGCCTTGGCCAATGGTTTTTCTTTTTTTTTTTTTTTTTTAATTACTAAGAACTGCCTTAGCCATAGGGGGATTTTTCTGGTTTCATACAAAATTAAGAATCATTTTCTGCAAGTCTTGAAAGTACGATGTCAGTATTTTAATAGGGATGGCATTGAATCTGTAGATTGCTTTGG